GTCAGGGTTAAGGAAACACTTAACGCTGCTGTCGGATGAAACCTGAGCCGCTCTTCGTCTGTTTCTTTACATGTGACCAAAATACGAAATATTGTAGAAATACAGAAATAACGCTTTTCATCACCAACTGTTTATTTATTTATTAACTTAATTCATTATGCTTCCTCCATCCTGCTCCTTGTTTGATCCCCTCCTTCTTCTATTTTCCCCCCGTTAATAAATTGTTTCTCCACACGTGACGCCCTCTTGACCTCGAACCATACGAGACCAAACAATCTTTTTCATGTTCATTCTTTTATTTAGTGTTTTTACTTTATTCTAAGCATTAATTTTGAATCTGTTAGTTGTGTCTGGATGTAGAGTCTCCGTCGAGCAGCCAGAGAAGAGAGACTGACTCGTTATCCAAACACAGATGTGTAATTATTTAAAGTAATGACGTGTGTAACTCTGCTCTGACGGGACGGAGCCTCCACACCAGCGTCTGCTGTCCTTTTACTTCTGCTAAAGGGAGAACGCTCCCGAAATAAAGCCAACGGTGATCTTACATTAATGGAGTTTGCTGTTCTTTGCTAATGTACCTTCTATTTATTCATTTCCAGTTTGCTTTGCCATTCGTCACATCAAACCAGTGTCCCCTGCAGGCTCCCGTATCGACCTCTAAAAGCTGCTGTGAAACCTGAGAGCCTGCGGCGTTAAAGCCTGATCTGAAAACAGCCTTCAGTGGGATCAATGGTGGATGTACTCCACGCTAAACATTTCCCATCATGCCGTGTTTGTTCTGTCTGCGCAGAGCTGGCCCCCCGGTGCTTCATGTTAGAGGGGGTGAAAAATTAGTATCAACACACGTGGTCTCGTAGTATTACAACTTTATTCTTGTAGAATCACGAGTTATGTCTCAATTACGACTTTATTCCCCGAATGTTTCTCTCAGTTATGAATTCATTCTAGAAAAATTACGACTTTATTCAGGAAATCTTGGCATAAATCTCTGTTTGAATTTTGCCTCAAAATGAATCATTGCTCCATGTAGATTTACCTCAGATGAAAATGAGCGGGGGGAGGACGGAGGTGTGTTTAGGCTCATCAGCGAAACGTGAAGCTCTTCAGATTGAAAGGAAATGAAATTAAGATCCCTCTTTCTCTCTCTCGATATCCCACAGAGACAATTTTCTAAGTTTGTGCTGCTCAGTCAAATCATCTCAGACGGGGGTCGCAGGGAAGAAAATAAACCTCCATTAAATGTCAACTAACATGCGTTAGTTTTGTGGGGGGGGGTTGGAAACGTGAGTGATGGACTTCAGCTAATGACTGGGAGTAGTTTCTCTGCTTTGACTGGGGAGAAAATGCCTCAGCGACTCATCTCCGTGCTGCGTAGAGGCTGCACGGTGACTTTGAGCTGGTGAACAAAAGCACTCCAGACCTCAGAAGGTTTTGCTGGCGAGCGGCGGACGCTGTCTCCCAGATGCACTCGATAACAAATGAATGGCTGCGCTCCTAAAAAGCTTAAGTGCCTGTGGCGCAGCGGCCGTCAGAGCCAAACAGACGCTGCACACAACCTGTTTTTGTTTGGAGAAAACTTTGCACGTGTGCATCAACTATAAAGAAGAGAAGAAGAATTAGACTTCTGTTTTCTTTACGGGCTTTAAAACGATGAAATGCTTTGTTTGTGTCTGACGAGCTGAGGTTTCACTCGCATTCACAAACGCAGGAGTCCCATTTTAATATGTCTTTTTCGAGAGCTATGTAATTGGTCATAATGGCTGAAGTTAAATGCATCATGTCCGAATCATGTGTTGAATAAAAGATGAGCGTCCTGAGTCGTTGTTCCCATAAGGCAAATGGACGAAAATGTCAGGCCAGCGTTTAAGGTCACTGTTGCTCTGTGAAGTAGCGTCTGATTCAGAGATTCACCCGTCGCTCAGGTTCCTCGTCTCTGTTCGTTCAGGAAAACATGAATTCTGCTGCTGATGTTTTTCAGTTTCAGGCAGATTTTTGTTTCCAGTGAGTTCCATGACTGCAGCTGCTGAAACTAACTCTGTATAAGACTTTTCTATGCCTCTGCAACAGCGACAGCCAGAAGGCGTTACAGTTGGTCCATCCGTCCCCGTCATGCGAACAGGAAATCTCAAACACACCGCGAGGGAATTTGTTCAGATTTGGTAGAAACGTTCAGATTGATTCACAGATGAACCGATTAGATGTTGGTGGTCAAAGGTCAAAACAGATGGTCACCAATAATAATGATATTTACCATGATAATTGAAATTCAAACTAAAACCAGAAGGTCAGCAGTCTCCTGATGAATCCTAAATATTCTAAATCTGTATCTTTAAGTGTTTTATAATATGTTTTATAAAACATATTATAAATAAATAAAATTATAAATAAATAATGTTGATAATTGAGTCAGATTTGAATGTCACAGAAATGAATTAATGACTTAAAGAAATTCATTTCTCAGCTCCACACTGTGAGACATAAAGATTTAAACACATCGTTGTTATCTGATCATTATTCATTACTGACAAACAGCTCGTGTTAACTTTTATATTATTTCATGTTAAGAGAAAAAACGTTTTAGTGCAAATTGTTTTGAGATCGAACGAAACCCCCCCCCCACCCCGAGGACCAATCAGGAAGCAGGGGTGGGAACACCTGAGTGGGGGCGGAGTCTGTGGGAGCAAGCAGGAACAGGAAGTAGCTGCAGAGCTTTTCTGTAAAACTCAGAATCTGAAGTGGACTTTTCTCTGCTTTGTTTTCTAGACAACTTCTACAAGGTGGAGGGAGCCAAGGATGCCTTAATCTGCGGGAACAGCAGCGACGCAGGGTGAGAGCGCACGTTAGCTGTGTTATTCACATGTATGTATGTTTGTGCACATGTGAGCTGGGAGCTCCCCCCTGGTGGACGTCATGGGAAGCTCCCAGAGTCTCCTGCTGAGTTGTGTAGTTGTGTTCATGTGCTGTGAACATGTGTTGGTGTGTTTAGTGTCGAGACGACACAGACTCCTCTCTACAGGAGTTACAGGACAGAAGTGTTAAGTTATAAAATGATATTCATGATTTTCCCAGAGCGATTGTTCTGACGCCACGTTTGAAACATGTTCTCTCGGCTGAGTCGTGTCGTCGTGAGGTCAGACTCAGAGGGAGGACGTGATTGTTGACGAGCTGATGACACTATGGAACCTTGAAATGGACATTTGTCCATTTGATTGACATTTTATAAAGACAAAACAATTAAGTGTCCATAAAGAAATCTATACTATTGATTGGCTGCAGAGGAGATACTCAGAGGATCTTATCTCTGCTCTGACGCGTCACTGTGGGATTAACACCAACTCAATGTCTCTGCTCCAGTTCTCTAATGTGGAGCTTTCAGTTTCAGTTTAAAAGACAAAAAACTCCTTGAAGCTTTTCTGTAAATTTAAAAAATGACCTGTGACGTTCGTCTGTTGTTTCTTATTTAGTCGCTGAAGTTTTCAGTTTCGTCCTTCGAGCCTCCAGCGACGGAATGAAGCTGCGTGTGTCTCGTCATCGGTTTTGAATCTTGCTGCCGGTGCCGTGTTCTGCAGTGTTGTGTGACATGTCAGAAAGGCCGTCCACGCTTAGAGCGGGACGCTGATGGACGCTGACGGACACGATGACAGGATCCTGTGTGTGTGAAAAAGACTCTGTCAGCCAAATCAAAGTGGTGGGGCCTTTGGGAAAAGAAAAACAAGTTCGCCTGAAGCTATCGCTGGTGAAACGCATCTAAAGATTCAAACGTAGCGAGCGGGCGAACTGACACAGAACAGGACAGAAAGAAGAAGAGGAAGGACGAGAGAGGAGGAGGTTCAGGAGAGGTGAAGCAGAACCGAGAAGATACAGACAGAGAGGAAAAAGTTAACCGAGGAATTGAATGGACAGAGGAGTATTAGAGGAGACAGGAGGAGGAGAAGGAGGGAACAGAAAAGAGAAACAGAAGGAGAGGAAGATGGAACGAGGGCAAATGAGAGCGAAGAGAAATAACAGAGTGGGAAGAAGAAAAGGGGGATGAAAGAGAGAAAAAATGAAGGAGAGGGAATGAGGAAAGAGACAGATGGGTTCAGGAAAACACAGGATCGTTCGAGAAGGAGAGAACACGCAGAAGAAGTAAAGGACAAGAAGAGATGAAGAGAAGGACAATAACAAAAACTGACACTGAAAGAAACAGTGAAAGTGAAAACAAGGAGAATATAATAAAGGAAAGAAAGAATGGATGAGAGAGAAAGAGAGAAGGTAAATCAGAGGGAGGAGTTAAAAGAGAGAGAAAGAGGGAATGATGAGAAATCAAAAAATAGAAGATGAGTGGAAGGTTAACTAAGGACAGGAAAATAAAGGAGAGTAGAGGAGACTTCATTGAAATCCAAACTGCCGTCATTACTCGAGTGAGTCATGTGATCATTATACGAACCGCTCATCCTCTTACGACGGAGCACAAACGAGTCGTGACTGAATAAAAATCCACACTGTGATTATCAGCCATAATGTTTTAACCATCCGAGGTAGACTCACCACGAGCTGCTGAACCGACGTTCTCCTCCAAATCACATCAACTGGGTCTTAAGAAACCAGCTGAAGGTCTCAGACGTGCATCACGTTGGTTTACGTACTGAGGTCGTGGAAGTTATATCAGCAGTGAGTCAGCGGCTGGTTGAGTCGGAGGTTTTGGCCGAGAGAGACGCTGCTGGAGGACGAGCGAGAGAGAGAGCGAGAGGGCGATGAGCGAGCGAGCAGTGATGACAGTGATGTTGATCAAGGGTTGTTTGCTTTCTGCGCTGAAGCTGCTCGGCTTCACGCATGATGCTGATTCGCCCGGCCCGAGGGCAAAGGTCAGTGAGCTAACCCACTCTGACACACACACTGACACACTGTGACTCGTACAACCAGCTTCACACACACACACACACACACACACACACACACACACACACACACACACACACACGCCACAGTGTGATGTCAAGGTTAGCATCATCTCACTTCTTCTTCAGAACAGAAGCGTGAGGAGTCGATCGCCTTTGTTAAGCGTGTTTACTTGTAATTTAATCTCAAAGAGGTGTCAGTCCAGGTTTACACCTGCTCCTGCTGAATCCAGTTTCCTAAACATGCACAGGTCTGAGGTCAGCGTTGACGTGTGAGTCTGCTGCGTCATGAATCATGACGGTTGTTTCCACATATTGTTTCCTCGTGGTCGCAGTGAGATTCATGGTCTGCAGATAAATGTCCCGCGGTTCAGACCTGAAGCTGAAACACAGAATGATGGAAGCTCACTGATTGGATGGATCTCAGTCGTTGTTCCCGAGCAGAGCCAATCACGACCCGCTTCAGCTCTGAAACCTTTAATGAGCCTGAAACCGCCTGGAGAGAGGAAATGAGGAAAATACAGTAAGATCAAATATAACTAACGATGTCATACAGCGCTGATATGAAGAGAGGAGGAGATGTGACCTATAAAATATGTGAGTCGACCATGTGACCTGTCAACACCCGACAAGATTCTGCTGACATGCCTGCAACATGCCAAGCACACGCCAAGCAAACAGCAGCGATACAGAACGACAGCCGGCCCGACGGGCTGCCTCGTTAGGGAAGCTAATCAGCGGCCGTCATCAATTAAGGGCTCATGTTACAGGAACTCGTTGGCATACGGCATGTGACCTGTGGGGTCACATGACGAGGAAGTGGTTTTGTGTCGAGAGGAAGCGATGCGGTGTTTAGAAGCCAGAGGCTCCTGGAGGACCCCGGAGGGCAGGAGTGCGGTTCTCCTGTTCCTGCTGGACGGCATCCAACATCCAGCTCAGCTCATTTATCCTGAATCTGCTTTAATGTGATTATAAAAGTTTTAAATCTCCGTCGGCAGCTGTCATTAAATCATCTCTTTTTTTTCCCTACATTTGAGTCTCTGGCATTAACGAGTGTGTTTCACTCACAGAATTATTTATGCCAAAATTTGCCTGAAAAATAAACCCAACACAAAAAGCCTGTTTTTGAAGACTTGTCCAAAATCCTCAAACACTTTTCTGTCCTCCACAAATATCCCCTGTTGTATTCAGTCGAGTAGAATTTTATCATTTCACGAGTTGTCTCTAAACAGTGAAAACGTATTTCACAGCACACTGACTCAACTCTGTCAGAACGAGTCTCTGGGGATTTGAGGAATGTATTAAACACATGGTTGTTTTTTCTTCTTCTCATTTTTAAGTTAAACTTGTCGCAAAAACAGAGTAAAAAAGTCGGGACAGTTTTAAATATGTAATATTTTATATGTTCTCCTCCAGTCAATTTTTATTTCATCCTTCCGTTGAGTTTGGGAGATTTCTGGGAGGCAGCAGGCAAAGCAAACTGGTCCGGACGTCCTTCATCTCCTCCTGGGGGTCCAGAGTCGCTCCCAGGCCAGATGGGACTTATGACACCTGTAGTGTGCTCCTCCGCGGGGGGGAGGCGTCCTGGCTGCGTTTGAACAATCTGAGCTCCTCACCTTTCTTCTGAGGCGGAGCTTAAAGCCTCGCTGGAAAGGAAACGCGCTCTGCTCACCTGCGTCAGTGATGTCGTTCTGTTGGTCGCCACCCAAAGCTCAGGAGAGGGTCAGAACACGGCCTCAGCCCGGAGCTGTGCCTGCAGACCGTGTTCACATACTTTCAAATACTCTCATGCAGTTTTTAAAGAGCATTTTTCAATGAAGTGTCAATGAAGCATGATTAGTTACATGGTTGAAGACCTGTGGGGTTGGTTCAACATGTTAATGTCATTTGGTCTGAATGAGCAGTCTTTTAAAATCACGTATCATTTTTCAGAAGTCGTTGAATCCCTCGGTCGACGCGCCCGCAGCAGCTAATTTCCCATCGTAACTGGAAAACAACAGGAGCCTTTATTTGTCCCGTAATGTGACAAGAAAATACGAGAGTGGATTCAAAAGGTGGAGGTGCAGCTTTAATCATCATTGACCCAGCTTCCTCTCAGAAAGACGCCGCTGTCATCAGAGCAGTTAGCGAGAAATATGGCTCGACCCGACTCTGAGGAAATAGCTGCTGCGGGGGTTGATTTTCCTGGAATACACTGCGTCATATAGCTGATATTCATCATTCCATTAGCCTAGCATTCACTGCTGGTGGTAGGCATGTCGATGCACGACCAACTCTGTGTGCGTGTGTGTGTGTGTGTGTGTGTGTGTGTGTGTGTGTGTGTGTGTGTTCCATTAAATTAGTCCAGTGTTCTGCTGCCACCGATGCTTTTCCAACTCTGTGTGTTTGTGAGTTTAGTTTCTGCTGCTGGAAACCGCCATGTTGACGCATCTCCAACTGTGCCTGTGTTAAGTGTTTGTGTGTGTGTGTGTGTGTGTGTGTGTGTGTGTGCGCACATATGTAATAAAGCTCTAACCCCCCTTTATGAATGGTTAAAACATTATGTTAAAAGCTGCACTGATCAATAACTCGACTACAATATTGAAAACATTTTTCAAAATGGGGGTTGATTTTGTCTGAGTGCACGTGTTGTGTGTGTGTGTGTGTGTGTGTGTGTGTGTTGTGTGTGTTGTGTGTGTTGTGTGTGTTTGTGTGTGTGTGTTTAGTTTGAGTTACGAGCTCTCTGGGAGGCTGTGAATGTGACATCTGTCTAATGTTCAGCCAAAGACACAAAAGAGGCTTCCACCACCTAAACGCTGGTCCACAGGGAGATAACTGTGTGTGTGTGTGTGTGTGTGTGAGTGTGTGTGAGTGTGTGTGTGTGTGTGTTGAGAACTGGCAGGTCTAAAGCGTTTATGGTCTTTTTGTTTTTTCCTCAGTACTAAAGCACTAAAGGAAAATTAACTTT